CTTTCCCAACCATTCATGATAGTAATTTATAAATGCTTTGTCTGTAAAGATCAACAAATGCTGCTTCTTCTTGCTATCTGAAATTATACTTTTATGCTTACTTAAAAATAATTAGAATTCGTTAACATTAACAATCTCAATTTTTCTAACGCGATATATGCGCTAATATGTTCTAAAGATTTGGTGTTTTTCCTTGTTTTGCCAAATTTACCTCGACAAGTATGATTGTCGGCATTTAATTCTTTATCCAAAGTACAAGCGCACGTGTATCCTTTCTTCTGATTCAGCAAGCACAATTGAGAACACGGGTTGGACTTACATGGATTATCAATCTGAAATTCGATTAAATGATAATGACAGGCCTTTTACGACGTATTTTTTGTAATGGGGAAAGTATATAATCTCATAGTACAATGCGTACCTTGGGTTTTATCGCTGAGTGATCGATATGTATGCCATAAGGTTTATTTTGCGTTCGATGTAAGATACGCCAATTCTTTCCAGAAAATTTATTGCAGGACTGTATCGTATTAGATCCCCAATCGCTCCAATATAATGTATTTTCGAAGACCCCCAAAGCGTATGGCTCTTGAATTATATCATGCTGTACGATCTGCGAATAATTGAATTATAAATTCATAATTCAAAATCTCAATTATATCTTAAAATATTTTATAATAAGAAAAAAGAGCCAAGCACTTACTCTTCGATCAGTACCATCTAAGCGTATTGATTCGACTATATTTGACTTAGAATCCACCCAATATAATCGATCATTTGGATAGTCAATAGTCAGGCTTTTTGGCCAGCTTAATTTTTCAGAGATAAATGTGCGAATGTTTTTGCCGTCCATTCCCGCCACTGCTATACGTCCATTGGAATCGCCATCGCTCCAATACATTTTTCTATAAATGTAATACACGCTCAGTATATTTACTTTATTATTTACTTTATTATACGTCTACGTTCTAAAATAAAATTTAGAGAGCTAATTTAATGGTTAATCGAGGCTACGAATAAAAATTATTTTATTTGTATTTTATAAAATAATGTTATATTGTTAATTAAATTTTACTTGTAAAACACAAATTTCTAGAATTCTTAGAATAGATTAGATTAGATACGAAATAAAATAGATTAGAATAGATTTAAAATAAAATATTGCTACAAATATCACTAATATTAAGAACTAATAGTAGTCCTCTGTAAACTCATGAGCGATAAATCAACTAGTAAAATTTAAGACTTTCTCTCTCTTTCTCTCTCTCTCTCTCTTCTTATAAAATCGTTTGCATATTACTACAGAATTTGAGCATAATTTTTACAAGGTGATATTTACCCACGGGTTGATAATAAAGTGATTCCGGTTGGTTTAACAAGTCCATTGACTAATACAGTGCAGTTCGTGTCGTTGGTGCAAACTCCAATACGATTGTAACCCTCATCGGTAAAATATATATTCTCCGTGATCCAATCTATGGCTATTCCCGATATCGTCGACAAGCCTTTATATAAAAAAGAAATATAAAATTTAGAAGATATAATGGAAAATTGTATATTATACGATTTTTATTTTAAAATATGATATTTTAAAAAACTTGTTCTACAAAAAAATAGACGCATAATTTTATATATTAATTTAACTATAATTGTTAGAATTATTGCAGCAATATAATTAATATTTTCACAAATTATAAAAAATATAATAATCAATAATTATTATATTTATTATAATTTTCATTATACATATATTGACAATTATAATTTTTATTATGTTATTTTATTTTATATTGCCAAATTAAGCAAATAGCACGTGTTAGAAAGTTATTTCTGCTTATCGCTTTGCAAAGGCTCTCTCTCTCTCTCTCTCTCTCTCTCTCTCTGTAATTATATCTTATATATTAAATGTCATTAATACGATGCCTACCTGTTGTAACTATGACTTCGCGACGACTCGCATGAATAAATCCAATTTCTCTTACAATGGTTTCGCTGTTTTCTTCCATATCCGACCAATATGTGACATCGTCGTTTGTAGTAACTGCGACCGCACGATTTAAGTTTCTCGCTAATGTAAAGGTAATATTCGAGTCGACATACATTCCCTTGACCGAGGTGCTTGTGGAGAACGTCAGCGTAGCCTCACCACCTAAATTTCAAAGAAATGTTTCGCGTTTTTATAAAATCTAATATAAAATGAATACGCGCCGTCGCACGTTACTCGCGAATTAATTTACCACGCGCTTTGCAAGTTTTCTCGTCGTTAAGCAGGGAGTAATCCTCTTGACACTGGCATTTATACGATCCTAGAGAATTTATGCATTCTTGATCGCATATGCCATAAATTTGACACTCGTCGATGTCTACAAAACAGAAAAATTATTAAACGAACGAGATATAATTCTCACGCCTTTATCACTTTTATCTATTACAGATTTACCTTTGCAAGTGCGATTATTATTTTGTAATGTATAACCCGGTTTACAGGTACACACATTTCCTTTAGGAGTTGCCTGGCATTCGTGGTTGCATTTTGCTGATGTGCAATTAGATGATGTACCTGAAAAAAAAAATGAATAATGTAATATTATAACAAGTAATATTATATATTATCACGCTAAAATTATAAAGACTTAATTGTAATTAAAAACAAAGGCAATAATAATTAAAATGCGTGGTGATAAAGATGGTGCAGTAAATTAGTAAATAAAACATGTTAAAATAAAACGTAGCATACTCACAACCAGCACCTTCATCTGACCCATCGCCACAGTCGTCCTTTTTATTGCATACTGCGTTAAGAGCTATGCATCGTTGATTTCCACACAAGTATTGGGACTTCTCAGTTTTACAGTCGCTCGCGGATGATGTTTTATTTGCGCCTGAAAAAACCACAAAGGAACATGTAAAACAAAATTCTTTTTATATAATAATTATAAAATTCCCGTATCATCTTAATTAATCTTGATATATTTTACAGAATAAAATCACCCTCTTGAATAACCTTCAAAAAGTTTTAGTCACTCTTTATTAAAAATTGTTATTTAAGTTTATTAAAAAGTTATCATTAACAAAAGAAGTTTCATAAATAGAATGTAATTTTTACATGGGTTTGCCATTTCGACGCAAAAAGCAGATCCATCCCATATCGCTCGATGCTTGCAAGGTGTACTTATTATTTACGATTTGCGTGAAAAGTTAAAAACATGTGGAACCGTACAATGATAGGCCTCAATTCGCACTGCAAGCAGTGGATGGTATAAGGTAAATCTCTTTTTGCGTGGAAATTGCAAAACCATGTAAAAATTACATTCTATTTACAAAACTTCTTTTGTTAATAACTTTGGGATGGACTTTGCTTCGCATAGAAAGTTGGAAATCTAAGTGGAATTGTGATAGAACAATTGATAGTTATATATGGGACGACAATTTTATTCAACATTTAATTAATCTAATGGATATATCGAATTCACTGTATTCAAAAATGCATTCATCATGTACATTCTTTTAAACATAAATTCAGTGAAATAGTTTGTGAAGTGGTAATCGCGTATAAACAGAGGCATCATACATCACACAAGTGAATGGGTGGGAATGTAGAAAGAGGGAAGTATTATACGTGTACTGTTAATCATTTTTTAATATACACTTGTGTGTCGAAAAAAATTAAGTTTCATTTATAAAACTTATTTGTTAGTAACTATATAATAAAGAATGAGTTATGGCTAAAACCTTCTGAAGGCTACCCTCTAATTAATGTCTATATATATCAATATGTAATATATAATATCAATATATGATATATATATATATAATATATAATATATGTCAAAGTCATAAGAAATGGTTCCCTATTCGGTATATTTACCGAACACAATTTCTATATTGTTCTATTATTATTAATAAAATCTATATTTATAAAAATTTACTGCAATTCCATTCGTCGCTGCCATCGGGGCAATCCTTGCTGCCGTCGCAAACAAATTCTTGAAGTACGCAATGTTGGTCGTTACACCGGAACCTGTCGGTGCAATTCAACTGGGCAACAAAAACATAATTGCAAATTTATTATTATTTTATTTCAAGAAGATTGGTGCAAGTAGAAAAGTAAGTAGAAATATATATGATAACACGCGGAAAATCCGAGCCGATTCACTTACGTCACGCACGCAATTATCGTACTCATCACTTCCATCCAGGCAATCCTTCACTACATCGCAGAATTTTGCTTTTGGTATGCACTCTTTATTGTTTTTGCATTTGTATTGATTTTTTTCGCATTTAAAACGAAAAGATCGCTAAAACAAAAGATATATATATATGTTCCTCGGTACTTCGTGCATCCGTATTAATTGTGTTGCGTGTCCAACGTAACGTTAAGCATAAGAAATAAGACATTATTCTTTCGATTGAACTTTATTCAGACATTGATATAATATATAATTCAAGCGAATGTTATATCATACATAGAGCTATTCCTCTTACGTAACAGAAATGTAACGGAAACTGAGTTTTTTAAGTATCTAAAGATGAAGCATATTGTTTTAACGTAGTTTGATGATGAAACAACTTTTGCCAAAAGTGATAGGTTGTATTTTTTATATCGAAAAAAGGAACTCTCTTGAATCGATTAAGCCCAGAAAAAAGATAATTCACCGTCCCGTTCTCAAGATATTTAATTTTAAAATTAGGTGATTTTAATGATTTTAACATTGGTCTAATAGAGAAAGAGGTTATTTTCCTATGAATAACACGAGTTTGCGAAAAACTTTTTGCCAAAAATGTCCGAACAATATATATCGATGGAAAGAGGACACTATGAGGAAGCCTATAGTTGAAGGTGAACACGATCCACCGTACAGTTTTTTTTAAATTAATAATTAAAGTTGAAAACTAGTCAAGCGACGCGTTAACACACACTTAATAATCTATTTCAGACAAAATATTATTCTACAACGTAAAAATTATTTACTAATGGTCTTTTTACGTCGAAGCTTTGCGATGCGTTATTCTATTTTTTTAATAATCATATAAATAAAAAAATTATAAACATTGTTTTGACTTCAGCCCTTCATCATCAAACTACCTTAAACAATTCTTTATTTTGCAATCTTTTTCAAGGGATAAAAAACTTTCTTTGAGGAAATAATCCGTCGATGAAATTAATTAAAAAATTAACTAAAAGCTAAAAGCAAAAACTTTACTATTTTTAGCGTAAGGGAAGTATAATGATTAGACATATGATTTGCAGTTAAAGATTCTTGGGAGCGTGTACTGGAATTTTAAGGTAAGAAATTGCAGCGTATATGATGTGCGATTTAATTGTAAGAAATACAAGCTATTTGTCAAAACCTATATCTTGATCTATATCATAAACTTATTAAAATATTTATAATAAAAATTTTGATGCGTAACTAGCGATAAATAACATGAGCTGTATAATACTCACTTTGTGAATCACGAAATCATCAAATTTGTCACAGTATTTTTCATCCGAACCATCTTTGCAGTCTTTAAAATTATCGCATCGGAATCCTGCCCATACGCACTCGCCATTGTCGCACGGCCACTTGCCGAGTGAGCATTTATAAGGTACGATCCCATTATAATTTTTCGACGCTTAAAACACAATTTTTGTTACATTGTCGGGGTATTTCGAAATACAAATAAAAAAATGATATAGCTGCAGGTAGACTTATTTTGATACGTCAGCAAAGCAAATTCGAACGAAAAACGGGCATGTCAAAAAAATTAATTTGAGATATTGAATAAAAGTTTTGTCTTATAGAAATATTGTCTTACCTGGAATGTGACATTTAGAAAGACATAAGAAGCTGCATGTAAACAACAGCACCACAAGACGAGACATAATCTGCAAACGAATACGTTAAAACTTAATTCCGGTAAAATAAATTAGAATTTACTATAATTATTTGTTGCTTTTCTAATTATTTTTTCATCAATTCACTTCAATTCCTTGAATATGCATCAATAATAAACCTCATATTTCTAATAATTTTTCTGTTAAAGAAATCAGCCGAGATCAATCATGAGACGTGGTACGATAAACAAATTTGTAACGGTGAATTTAACGTGATAAATGTAATCATGGTTCGAAAAATTCCAGGAATTTGAATATTTCTTTTGAGAATCAAATCCAAATTTATGAACAAATCCAAATTTTGTTTCTCAAGGTTCAGTAATTAATTCTTGAAAAAAATCGCATGTCAATATTAATAGTCATTGAATAATTGCATGTCATCTGGGTATTAAATAAGAAAAAGTTGCGTATTATTCAAGTGTGAAAGTGTTTTCAGAAGAAATCACATTCAACTAGAGATTTAAGCTGCATTCAAATCACTATTTCTAATATTATAAAAAATCTATAACAATATATATATATATATGTAGTATTTTTATTATAAATTCTACAACAGAAATTATACAACCTAATAATCAGGGTAGATTAAATGAAAAGTTATAATATTTATCACATAATCAACATGT